GGAAGGGAATACCGCGACCCCCCGACAAATTGAGGTATTTTACCAATTACGAACGATATACATTGACAGTCCTCAGACGTTCGTCAGTTGCAACTATCTCGAGCGCATAACAAGATGTGTGTGGAACGCATATATACAGTCGCACAGTCGGCGGTGTTTCTCTTCCCCCTTTTCGGCCCGAAATCACCGAGTAATTTCGTCGTCGTGAACGTTATTGCACTTGCAACGCACGTCTGCGAATTTTCACCGCGCAATTTAAAGGATTAAAGGTGCCGACATGCGCGCGCCAAATGAAGGACTTCGCGCTGTCCATCATCAGGAAGAGGAGCTATATACGTGTTTAACGGCTTCCCCCCCCCCCCCCCCCCCACCACCGACAATGAACGCTATTTGTTGCCGTCTTATCGTATTTTCGCACCGCCTGTATACAAAGTTGCATCGGCAAGAATGAAGAAAGAAACGATTTCTCGCGCAAGAATAAATCGAGAACGTATATGATAAAATTTTTTCCAGTGCATTCGATTCTCCAAGAAAATTGATGTCAAAAATTGGGAAATTAATAACACGCTTCTTTCAACTCGAATTATCTCGAACGATAATTGTCGAATTTATTTTGACGGTGTGGCTATTGATACATAAAAAAATACAACATATTCACATTTAATGAAAAATAATCCAAGTTACCAAAGGTGTTGGATAGTAAAATATGAAAATGACTTTTGTTCAGTAGAAAATGCTGTATCTTCTTGTATATTATATATTTTAACAAATTATAAGAAAATATTAAATATTTTCTCTCTCGCTCTCTCTCTCTCTCTCTCTCAAGTCGGAAATATCTTGTTTATTTAATATATAACGACTCTCGGTTTATTGATGTAGTTTCGAAGCCGCGGTCGATATCTCTCTGCGTCAGTTATTTTTTTTTTCGCAAAAATACACGCAGAAAATAACGAACCGATGCCTCGATCCGTTTCCTCTTCTCTCGCGATATTGCAATTTTGTCCGCGCGGGTCAAACGAGAGGATCTGCGTCGCGTCATCGAGAGAAACTCATCAACGTATTCGAGCGCGATGCACGTTTCCGGCTCGCATTCGCGACAGAAATAAACTAGGGAAAATCGGCCCGGCTCTTGCGACCGGGAAGATGAAAGGTAAAGAAAAAAAAAAAAAAAAAAAAAAAAAGAGAGGAGAGCTGCTCGCGCGTGAACACGCTAAAATATTTGCGCGTGAAAACAGTTGCGTGCTCGCACGCTCGAGTTTGCACTCGATGAAAACGCTTCGATGAACACGGAGGAGAGGGAGAGAGAAAAAAAAAGCGCGAAATATTGATATTTCTTGGTATCGACCAGAATTTCTGGGCGATAAGAATATCAGCGGAAATGAATAGAAATTATCTGCGATCCGAGACCGAGATGTCTATCACGGCCGAATACGTGAATGGATCTCGATTCGACACGAGTGCGAGATAAATCATGAATATGAGAAAACGTGTCTGACAAACGAGCGTAATTTCATTCCTGTCGCTCTTCGCGTCGAGAGGAGGAAAGACGGACAAGAGGAGACATTTATTTAGCAGGATATACGGGAAAATTCATTATATCAACAAGAGGAAAAAAACATTAGATTAACGATGTAAAAATAAAATAAAAAATAAAACAAAATAAAACAAAAACGCAATTAAAAATTAGAATTAAAATAGGAATTTTTCTATCTTTTGCACGGTTTTACTCGACGTACAATGAATAATCGAAGAGCCGAGATAAGACGTTCGCAGCCCGAACAATATATACATGATAATGCCATAATTCGCGGCCGCAAAATGCGTGACAGTGTAATTCTCGCGTCGCGATTTTTACGCCACGGAAATTTGCGCGCTCGTGATGACTTAAATCACTCGCTTCCCTCTTGCTTGCCTCGCTTAATTCGCGATCGTTAATTTTCTTCTCGCCGCGTTGCGGAAAATTCGAGAATCAGTACCGTTCGTCGCGTTCTCATCGCGAAACGTAGCGTGAGTCATGTACATACGCGCACACACACAAACACACACACACACACATACACATACAATGGTTGTTGCAAGTTTCTGCTGTTCCGATAAACGCAATCGTATTCCGCTGATACAGCGCCGGTGTTATCGTTCGCAAGAAAAAAGTATGTATAACGTAATCGTGTATGTGTTACAATTCGCATTGAATGGACGCGACGTTACTATCGTCCTCGAAATTAGGACCTTACAGCTTTATACCGTCAGGCTATATTTGAAGATGCAATCTTCAAGTTGCGGACCGCGAGTCAGAGACAGAGATAGAGTTTTAAGCACGGCGAGATTCGATAAATTAACCCTTAAAGATTACATATGGATCATTTCGATCGATATTTTAACAATAAAATATCCCTTAATCAATAAAAAAAAAATGTTTAAAATTTATTTTTTAACTTTTGTTGTACATGATCATTTTCTACGGATGTCAATGAATATATATAAATTTTGGTGGATTTTTTCAGGCACTTTGTGACCCATATATGACCAGGAGCAGAGCAAGAAAAATATGTGAATAATAAAAGTACAAGAGGATTAATAAAAATTCCGCGTAAATGAATTTGTAGCCGTTTAATAAAAAAAAAAAAAAAAAAAAACACATACCTGATATATACATACACATGATTCTGTTGAATCGCTCATTCGCGAGATTACGGACGGATGTTTCGAGGAATCGCGAAAGACCGGAGGTGCGCGTCGTAGAAAGTCCCAGGGTAAGCGCAAGCTGAAAACGCATCGTTTCGGAACGTCCGGATTGTCGCAAGGTGCGCAGATTCGAGCGCGTCTTGTTTTGCATCTTGCGTAACGCGATACGCAACGAGAGGAGCGGAAGGGGGTACAGGAAAAGTGGAGGGGAGGGAGGAGAGGGCGTTTCTGCCGTGAACGGAAATCGTATCCGCGCGTTGCATAAGAATCGTAAGGACTAGCCGACCGACGACGACGACAGCGTGTAATCGTATCGCGGTTAAGTGGCGTGCACTTATACAAAACATCGTGAATCTGCAAGAGATTTTTTGGACTTGTTTCTTCGCGACAATAAGCGTCGGAAGGAGAGAAGGCGAAAGTAGATCGGATCCGAATCTATCTTAGCTAAATGTCTCTGTCCTCATTAATAATTATGAAACTCCTCTAGTAACACTTGATATTTCATAGGATATTAGGTAACAACCATCACTGATAATTATCACCAGTAATTTTTAAATTCCTTCAGTAACGCTCTTCTATGAGGTATTTTTTTAAAAGGTTTTTACGTTTAGATGCAAGATGGACTATTTTTATATTACATCATTATAGAATATCTTAGAATATAATTTTTAATTTTAAATTTTTAGAATATATAATTAAAATCCTCTTAAAAAATATTGCACTGAAATTTAAAAATTATTAATAATAATTATTAGTGATAATGGTTACTTAATATTTTATCAAGAGTGTTCCTGGAGGAATTTAATAATTATTGGTGATAATTATTAATATCCTGTGGCATGATGGAATTAACGTTTGTTTGACTTTACCCCCATACATCGCCGGACATTTCGATCGGAAGCGGTCGCCTCGACGGGATCTACGCGTGACATATCTACGCGACGTTATTAAGACACGTGCGCGTAATTCGGACGTAACGCGAGTCACGCTTCGGCGAGTACGCTTCGCCGCGGTTGGACCCCCCCCTCACGAGCACGCTCGGCCGAGCCGAGCCGGTTCACTCGATTTCATTCATTTGACGGATAATCGTCGTGTTCCTGTTTGCAGCTCGGCAGGGACGTGCCAAGCGCGATAGAGCGATAGAGCTGTCCGTCCTCGCGCTCCAAGGTCCCGGGTTCCGGAGCTCCCCGCGGTGCATCGCTCGCATTGTCTTGCTGCACCTCTCTAACTAAGCGATGTAGGAAGTTGCTGAGTCGCGATTGTTAACGCGAGATGACGACGCGGAATTTTCTCGCCTACCGTGCCGCGACGGTGCCGTGGTGATTTTACGAGACCACCGTGTGCGGAAGTCTCTTATTGTTAGCATTCGCGTTGCGTTTCAGGACGTGTCTCGTCGCCGCGAAGTGTTTACTTATTTTGACGATGGAATAATCCCGAAATATAAATGTACCTCGAAGCTTGAATTTTTTCAAAATGTATATATGCACGACAGGTGTTATTACTCATATGTTTGATATTTGACGGCTACAGTTTGATCAATTTTCGATTCTTCCGAACTTGTATACAAAATGTAAGAACTTAAAAATGTAAGAATTTAAAATTTGGACAAAATAATAATATTTTTTCATAAGAAGGAAGTAAAAAGAGCATTCATAAGCGGAAATGTATTATTTTTTGATATATTATTGCTTAACCGAGTTTATATATGATATTACACACTTCGGATATCAATTAAATGATCAAAAATTTATATATGTTTCGGTAAAAAAGTTCAAAATGGTTCATCTATCCTTTAACGAGAGAAAAAAAAAAATAACTCTTCTTTTTTAAACTACTTATTATTTATTTTCAAATAAATAAATTAAAGAATAGATCATATAAATATTTTTAATAAAGAAATAAAAACAATGCCAATAACATATTAATGGATAAATATTTCATAATTTTGAATAAAATATAACAATTAAATCAAAGTTATGATAATGAAATGGACAAATGAGTCTTACAGATATCTTAAAACATGGTTGTAAATTTCAAAAAATATTGTTATGATTAATTTATTAATAAACAATTAAAAAAATGATTATTTGTACATAACATAAACAATACAATCACAAATAATCTTATATATGTACAAATTTATTTAGTAAGATAAATAGTTTGGTGTAATATTTTATATAAATATTGAAATGATTTACGATTCTCGAAACACACGTTTGCTATGACTAAAAGAGAAATATACGACTTATCCATATAAATGAAATTGTCGTATTATAAATCTAATATGCATTCTAATAAAACGCAGATTCGCATCATATAGAGTGCAAATCTTTATGCAGAAAAATTAATAAAAGTTACGTCTTTCTATCTTTTCCGCTACAATTACCTTCGACGACCATTTATATAATAATTGTTCTCGTCTCTCTCCTCGCTCGATCAAGAAATTTTACTTTTTTCGCGACACGCGCCTCGTAAGACGCGAAATCAACCAGCTGCGCGCAAAGCGTGTGCGTGCACGTGCTTCGTGCACGCACACGCGGGCCTGCATGTGCTCGGCCACGGTCATCTCGAGACCTTCTTGCGCAGCCACCGCACTTACACACACACACAGACACAGACATATACACTATACATGCGTGATACGCGAATCGCGAGGCGAATTACGCAACTGCACAATTGCGTGTACCGCAACGTAACGACGAGTTCCACGATATAACGACCGGTCGCACGACTCGCCTTCTCTCCACCAACCTTATAATAGATATCTTTCTCTCTCTCTTTCCAGCGAGGCGAATGCACAATTGCGTGTACCGCAACGTAACGACGAGTTCCACGATATAACGACCGGTCGCACGACTCGCCTTCTCTCCACCATCTCCACCAACCATATCTTTCTCTCTCTCTTTCCC